ATATATATTTTTAGTTGGCCAATTCATTTCTTTCTATTTTTCAGTAGAGACGGGGTCTCGCTCTTCTTGCTCAGGCTGGTCTCGAACTCCTGACCTCGAGCGATCCTCCCGCCTCGGCCTCCTATAAAGCAGGCGTCCTCAAACTTCCGGCCCGCGGGCCACATGCGGCCCGCCTAGCACATGTATCGGGCCCTCCACCGGGTGTTTTTGCAGCCGCTGCCTGTCCTGTTTAGCAGCCGACCCGTCCCGGGCCCGCGGTGCGCACTCTCCAACGGTCTGGGGGACGGTGAGCTGCCCCTCTTGTTTAAAAAGTTTGGGGATCCCCCCTGCTCTAAAGGGAAGAATGAGAAATTGCATCAGGAACAGAAAGCTCAGAAAGTGTTTGGAGAACAGTGCCTAGATCGGTTCCATTGGTTCTGAACAGGGATTGAAGGCTGGCCTCTATCTGATGTTTTGGGTGCAGATCTCACTGGCCGAAGAGCAAATATGACTTAAAAGAAAAAGTATAAAAGATAGTCTCTGTGTTCTGTGGCTCGTATCTCTCGGGTTAACTTCACTATTTGTATCTTGAAGGAAGCTTATAATTGGTCATCACAGCTCTCCCAGTAGAGAAAGATACAGGCCGGGCACGGTGGCTCACGCCCGTCATCCTGGCACTCTGGGAGGCCGAGGCGGGAGGATCGCTCTCGAGGTCAGGAGTTGGAGACCAGCCTGAGCAAGAGCCAGACCCCGTCTCTACTAAAAATAGAAAGAAATCAATTGGCCAACTAATATATATAGAAAAAAAATGAGCCGGGCATGGTGGCGCGTGCCTGTAGTCCCAGCTACTCGGGAGGAGGCTGAGGCAGGAGGATCGCTTGAGCCCAGGAGTTGGAGGTTGCTGTGAGCGAGGCTGATGCCACGGCACTCACTCTAGCCTGGGCGACAGAGTGAGACTCTGTCTCAAAAAAAAAAAAGAGAGAGAGAGAGAAAGCTACAAAGGAGTTATGGGTTTTGATTATGGCTCCTAAGCAAAATACATAAGAACTAGAATGGAAACTTGATTTTCTAAAACAAACCAGCACTGAATGTCAATTAAATTTTGGCTTTTCAAACCAATTGTCTTAAATACTTTTTTCTTGACCTAAACAAAAGGTTTAATTACTTTTTATTTCTGCTAGTATCCAAAGACCTACGCAAAAATTACATTAGCCTTAGAAAGTTGTTAATTAAAATTGACTAACATGTGGACAATCAAATGAATTATGTACCCGTGCATTTTATAATGGCCAATAAGTTATAGAGGCCTATGAGCATGCAAATATTTCACGAAGATCATATGATTCTTCACTCTTGAATAATTCTGCAGGGCAACCTTCCGGAAATCAGCAGGAGTTTTATTTTTAAATTATTTATATTTTTAGTCTGTTTTAAATGAACAATTAGCTTTCCCCCTGTGTATCCATAACTATTTGAAAACCTGAAATGTTTCAGGAACGATTGCCAGTAGCCACATTTTTCTTGATAGTTTTCCATTGCAGTAATGCTTCAAGGCCATTACTGGATCTTTAATTGAAGGAAGGGACAATCTTCTTAAATTACATTTTTTTTTTAAAAAAAATTCAGGCACTGACTATTCACTACATGTATTCTCTTCCTGGAATATGTGATCTACTGGGAAACATTATAAAAGAACATGGAATGTAGAAATGTTTTGCTCTGCAGAGCGGTTGCCATGAAAGACTCTTTCAAAGTACTCTGCGATCAATTTTTATTGTCAGCCCTTGACAAAAACCCTCAAAGTCCAATCATTCCCTCGTAAAACTAAATAATGAAGGCAACGGGAAAATCAAGAAGCACGGTGCATTATACATGGTCTTCATAAATGGAACCCTGATGTCTCCTTATTAATGTATTTCGTTATTGATAAGCATGCACGCAGAGTCACATTTTTTTTTTTCTTTTTTGGAGACAGAGTCTCACTCTGTCGCCCGGGCTAGAGTGAGTGCCGTGGCGTCAGCCTCGCTCACAGCAACCTCAGACTCCTGGGCTCAAGCGATCCTCCTGCCTCAGCCTCCTCCCGAGTAGCTGGGACTACAGGCATGTGCCACCACGCCTGGATAACTTTTTATATATATTATATTTTTAGTTGGCCAATTAATTTTCTTTCTATTTTTCAGTAGCGACGGGGGTCTCGCTCTTGCTCGGGCTGGTCTCCAACTCCTGACCTCGAGCGATCCTCCCGCCTCGGCCTCCCAGAGTGCTGGGATGACAGGCGTGAGCCACCGTGCCCGGCCAGCAACAAGTTTTTTTTAAAAAATGGGCTAGCAATTGTACATTAGACTATTCATATGACGGTAGATGTCTTGAAAAGACGTGGAAAAGGAGAAGATTTAGAAGAAAGCTTAAAGAAAGGATCAGAAAGATAAAAGTGTTAATGAGATTCTGGCAAAAAAAAAAAAAAGCAACAACCGGGCACCCTTAAATAAATTGACACAAGTACGTATTTGTGCTAGGTCTATTAAAATAAGTTTACGTTTTAAAATAAGTATTAAATAAGTTTACGTATTAAAATGAGTTTACGTTTAAAGTAAACTTACTGTTCAAACACAGTGGGTACCCGGAATGATCTACTCTTTGTTATTGAAGTCAATATTTTTGTGTTTATTTGACTAATGCCAATCACATCCTTTTAGCAGATGCTAACAGTACCTATCTATAAGAAGCTTTTCATTTTTATTCGTAAACACAACCTAGGATATCAAAGCATTCAGTGTCCAGATTATTTGGCTAGCCTCAGTCATGTCTGAACTTTCCTAAAAAATCACATCCATCTCATCTGCTTTTGCATATGAAAATTAAACTGCTGATAGGAAATACAAAATTTTTTTTTTTCCCCACAATGAAAAATTTTTTTTTTTCCCCACAATGACTATAGTTAATGACCTTCTGCGTTATTATTCGAAAGACTTTTTCTAGCTGGCGTCTTTGTTTTAAATCAGCCACGTCCATTCCATTGCCACGTTATTTCTAATAAATCATACCATCTTGCTGGAGAATTTAATTCCACTTGTTACGTGGCTGGCTGGCCATATGGGCATGCCTTATAGAGGCATGTCTTAATAAAGCCAACCCTGGCGGCCAGAGTAGAGAAAAGAGTAGTATTTTGTCTAAACACCCTGGCAGCACCCTAATGTTTAATTAGCAATAATCTGCCTTTCAGTTGTAATTTTTAAACGTATTGAACAAACAAGTAGTTTGTTATTGGCTTTGGCCGCGGGACCATTTCCACAGACCCTCTTCTTGCAAAACACCTGGGTATTGTGGTCTTGCATGCGACATTGTTTCCCAATGAGACTGGAAGTGGATCCATCATATTTTGTCTAAACACCCTGGCAGCACCCTAATGTATTTAATTAGCAATAATCTGCCTAGTATTTTGTTATTGGCTTTAGTAGCAGGGCCATTTCCGTAGACTTGTGTTTGAGACCCTCTTCTTGCAAAACACCTGGGTATTGTGGTCTTGCATGCAACATTGTTTCAGAATGAAATTGCAAGTGGATCCCTAATATTTTGTCTAAGCACCCTGGCAGCACCCTAATGTTTAATTGGCAATAATTTGCCTTTCAGTTATAATTTTTAGACTCATTGAACAAACAAGTAGTTTGTTATTGGCTTTGGTGGCAATGCCATTTCTGTAGACTTGTGTTTGAGACCCTCTTCTTGCAAAACACCTGGGTGTTCTGGTCTTGCATGCGACATTGTTTCAGAATGAGATTGCAAGTGGATCCCTAGTATTTTGTCTAAACACCCTGGCAGCACCCTAATATTTAATTAGCAATAATCTGCCTGGTATTTTGTTATTGGCTTTGGTGGCAGGACCATTTCTGTAGACTCGTGTTTGAGACCCTCTTCCTGCAAAACACCTGGGTATTCTGGTCTTGCATGCAACATTGCTTCGGAATGAGATCGCAAGTGGACCCCTAATATTTTGTCTAAGCACCCTGGAAGCACCCTAATGTTTAATTAGCAATAATCTGCCTTTTAGTTGCAATTTTTAAACTTATTTAACAAACAAGTATTTTGTTATTGGCTTTGGTTCCGGGACCATTTCCACAGACTTGTGTTTGAGACCCTCTTCTTGCAAAACACCTGGATATTGTGGTCTTGCATGCAACACTGTTTCGGAATGAGATTGCAAGTGGATCCCTAGTATTTTGTCTAAACACCCTGGCAGTATCCTAATATTTAATTAGCAATAATCTGCCTGGTATTTTGTTATTGGCTCTGGTGGCAGGACCATTTCCACAGACTCGTGTTTGAGACCCTCTTCTTGCAAAACACCTGGGTATTCTGGTCTTGCATGCAACATTGTTTCGGAATGAGATTGCAAGTGGACCCCTAATATTTTGTCTAAACACCCTGGCAGCACCCTAATGTTTAATTAGCAATAATCTGCCTTTCAGTTGCAATTTTTAAACTCATTAAACAAACAAGTATTTTGTTATTGGCTTTGGTGGCAGGGCCGTTTCCACAGACTCGTGTTTGAGACCCTCTTCTTGCAAAACACCTGGGTGTTCTGGTCTTGCATGCAACATTGTTTCGGAATGAGACTGGAAGTGGATCCCTAGTATTTTGTCTAAATACCCTGGCAGCATCCTAATGTTTAATTAGCAATAATCTGCCTAGTATTTTGTTATTGGCTTTGGTGGCAGGGCCATTTCCACAGACTTGTGTCTGAGACCCTCTTCTTGCAAAACACCCGGGTGTTCTGGTCTTGCATGCGACATTGTTTCCCAACGAGCCTGGAAATGGATCCATCACATTCTGTCCAAGCAACCCTGGCGGCGTCATAAGATTTACTTTTTGGATTGCGGTTGGCTCCACATCTTTCCCAGGCCTGAGCCAGGCGCGGGTGATTGACAGCCCGGCATTCAAACCCCGCGCCACCCTTTGAGGAAGAACCCAAGGGGCCGGGCCCCCCGCCCCAAGGGCCGGGCCCCCCGCCCCAAGGGGCGGGGCCTCCGTCGCTAGCGACGCTCCGGCCGGCGCCCCCGCGCCGCCATGGACCAGGATGACGGGCTCACGGCCGTGGACAACCTGGTCACGCAGTTCAACACCTACGAGGATTTCCTCGACTCGCAGATCACCACGGTGGACCTGTACTACCTGGAGGTAGGTGAGGCGGCCGGCGGCACAGCGGCCGCCGCCTACAAGGTCCTGAGGGGCCGCCCGGCGTCCCGCCTCCTAGCGGCGTGCAGCGGCGCATGCGCGCGCGTCCGGCGCCCCCCCGCCTCCCCGCGGTACCCGGATGGCGGCGCCAAGGCAACGGACGCGTCGCCGCCCCTCGCGCGTCCGGGCCCCACGGTACCCGGATGGCGGCGCCAAGGCAACTGGAGCGTGTCCGGCCCCCGCAGTACCCGGATGGTGACGTCAAAAGAGCGCGCCGCCACGGGGGCCTTTCCGTCCCGCTGCGTCGCCACGGCTGCGCCCCAGTCTCTGTCCTCACAGAACGGGGTCCCCTCGTGTCGCCCAGCGCGGGAACGTGCGCGCAGCGGTCTCGAATGCCACCAGCCGGGACTCAGGGCCGGCGGGGGACACAGGGGAGGCCGGTGACTCGACTGGGTCGCTGCAAATGAGTCCCCCCGGCCGGAAGCAAAAAGCTGGGGTGCAATGCCGGGGGACGGCGAACGCGACATTCTGGACCAGGGGTCCTCAAACTTTTTAAACAGGGGGCCAGGTCACCGTCCCTCAGACCGTTGGAGAGTGCGCACTGTGGGCCCGGGACGAGTCGGCTGCTAAGCAGGACAGGCAGCGGCTGCAACACACACACCCCGGCGGGCCCGGGATAAATGGCGGGCAGAACTGCGCCCCGCGGGCCGCAGTTTGAGGACGCCTGGTCTGGAAGACCACGGGTGGCGTTTTTCGGCAATGTCGTGCACAGAAAAATCGAATCCATCACGGACCAGCCTGTCCGTTCCTGTTTCTGCAAAGCTCTGGCCCCTTTTCCTGCTGGGACTGGTGTCTGTCCGGGCCTGGCGACCACAGGCAGAGAAGAACCCGCCATCCAGCTTCCGCATTTTATGCTTGCTCGCTCAGGAGAGTGGGAAAATTTCTAGCTCCCTTAATCTGACTCCGGACCTGCCATCCCCGAGAGCCATCTGCTGGGGCGCATTAAGTTGGAAGCCAAGGAGAATGGTGGTGGCGCATGCCTGTAGTCCCAGCTACTCGGGAGGAGGCTGAGGCCGGAGGATGGCTTGACGCCAGGAGTCTGGAGGTTGCTGTGAGCGAGGCTGACGCCACCGCACTCACTCTAGCCCGGGTGACAGAAGTGAAACTCTGCCTCAAAAACAAACAAACAAACAAACAATACCGTGTTTCCTGAAAGTAACGCCTACCACCTAAACAAGCCCCAGCAGGATGTCTAAGCACGTGCACAATAGAAGCCTACCCGAAAATCAGCCCTAGTGATGGGCGTGGCTTATCGAAATCCAGCCCTGGTGACTGGGCGTGGCTATGAAAAATCAGCCCTAGTGATGGGCGTGCGCTATGAAAACTCAGCCCTGGTGGTGGGTGTGCCTATGAAAATCAGCCCTAGTGACGGGCGTGGCTGCGCAGCGCATCTGCACAACCCCCATGCGTGTGTCGTTGCGAGCGGGAAAGAACACGAGCAGCCCTTCTCATCCGCCGCCCCGTCAAGCCTCTAGTGCTCCACAGGAGAGATTGGGGCCAGTGGCTCTAAAGGAAACAAGTCGCAAGACATTCGGGATGGGATTTGGGGTCTGGGAGATGGGGATGATGTTCCAGCAAGAAGACAACCTCACTGTATTTGGAATCAATGTAGATGGTTTGTACCGCACTTAAAAAAAATAACACATCCCCTGAAAGTAAGCCCTAGGGTGTCTTCTTGAGGAAAAATAAATGTAGGACCCTGTCTTATTTTCGGGGAAATGCGGTAACTGCCCACAGGATATAGCCGCTAGTCCAGGGTGGAAACGCCCCCTGGACCCCTGGGGCGCCTGACATGCTTCGTGTACCCAGCGAAATGCGCTGGGGCTTAGATCACAGGATGCAGGAATGCTGTTTCACCGAACGACTCAATCCTGTCTGTAATTAGGATACTTCAGAGGCTTCCTCTCTGCTGACTCTTAGCTGCAGCCTGTTTGTCCTACAACACCCATCTCAAGGCTCCAAACCCCCCACCACCTCCATTGTGCTAAAAAACGAGTTAAAGGTGTCAGATTAACGCTTTCTCTCGCTTTTGCAAAAGTGTTTGCTAATTCGATTTTTTTAGAGTGTGGTTTTTGCCTTTAAAAAGCAGGCCGTTTTTTTCTTAGCTCATCGCTGCTTTTCTGTGCCTGTCTCTCTGCCGGGCAGAAGTGATCCTGGCCAGTAAATAAAGACTCACAATTTGACTCAGTTCGGTTTCCAAGGTGGTCTTTTCTCGCACTCCGAGCTATAAGAACCGTAAAGGTGCTACGAGGTCATTAAGTTACCACCAAAGTGTGCAGCTAATTTCTTAAGCCCAGAGCTCATCATTGTCTTTCTCCAAGGCCTCTGGCGTGCTTAGAAACAAGCAGTCTCACCATTCTTCTTATTTCTGCGCAAAAAAAAAAAAAAAAAAAAAAAAAAAAAAAAATGTCCTGCAGCATCTTGTCTGTCTGACAGGCTGAACTTTGTCATCCCGAAATTCACAGGTTGAAATCCCTCAAGCACTTTCGGAGCCTGCTGACGGTGTTGGAGAGGGCCCTTTCAAGAGGTGACTGGGTGAAATGAGGTCACCCAGGTGGGGCTCTGATTCAGCGTGACCGGTGGCTTACCAGAAGAGGAAATGGGACCAGCACTGAGGCACAACCGCCTGAGGACACAGCCCCAGCGCCCGCCCATCTGCCAGCCCAAGAGGAGAGTCCTTAGAATAAACCCAGCCTGCAAACAACACCTCCATCCCGGACCTTCAGAACTGGGGAAAATACATTTCTGTGGTCCGAGCCACCCAGTCTGTCCTGTTTTTTTTTTTAACGGCAGCCTGGCAAGCTAATACAACGGCAAATACATATTTTCCTAAAACCTGGCTTGC